TGCTGACCAATCAGTAGAGACCAAGATCCTGAAAGAGCACACCTAGAAAACTGATAAATATTCTGCTGAAACCCTCTCCTGAGAACTCCAAGATTCCCACCTATAAGAGAGAGAGAAAAACCCTCAAGACAAGGAACGCAGCCCAAGCTCTCCCTCTGGGGAGCACAGCCTCAGCATCTCCTAAACTCGAATGGTCCCCACGAGATTTGCAACCAGGGAAGCAATAGGCATTGGCAGTTCATCCCAGGCTAAACCCCTGAACCTGTCCCCAAGGCCCACTTTTCTCTGACTTCCCAGTGAGCCAAAGCAGCCCAGCTTAGGCTCTCCTGTTGCTGCTTCTATGATACAACCTTTCTTTGTTCACTGTCCCCAGCTTTAATAAATGTACCCTCATAGTCACCTGGACTCATATTGTGAAATCTTTCCTTCATAAAGTCAAGAACCCACACACTACTGACCAGCCCGAGGCAGACACAGTGAGAGCCAGGTCCCCGGTCCCATAATACTTCCATAAAAATAAAAAAAACCTCCCCATATCTACTATTGGTTACCCAGTAATACCATTTATAAAGGAAATTCAGAATAGATACCAATTTTATATTTTCCAAATAAGTTGGTTCACTAGCATCCTTTACAGTACTTTCTTGCTTACTGATTTATTATCATTATGAATGCATGAACTATCTGCTGTTACTATCTTTATTGATATTCCAATTGTCCTTCTTGGGCCAGTGGAAGCCTCAAGTTGACTACAGGGCCCTGGAGGTAACTCAAGTAACCTATCACAGCTTCCTTACTTTCTAATATGACAAGATAATCAAGGACCATCTCATGCAATTGCTGCCCAGACCTGAATTCAACCATTTCTCCAAGAAGCTCTGATCCTTTTTAATGGGAAAAACTATTTCCATAGCTCAGTCATGTTCAGTTATTGAATTGGTCATTGGTTCTGTATCTTTTCAGTGAACTCATAAAGTATTTTTCCTTCTTCCTTCCTTCTTTGTTTCTCCTTGGGGTGTGAGTGCGTGTGTACAAAATAAACTATACCAGATTCAGTATGATAAGCCCTATTCAAATTGTGAAGCTTATTTATTCTCCTCTAACTTACAATGCACCCCTTTTCTTCTATACAAAGAATCCTGGGTCCTCAACAGCAAGAAGAATAACAAAATTAGAATATTATTATAATTCCTGATTTGCCTCATCCCATAAAGTCCATCTGACAGTCTAAGAGTGAAAATACCAACATTACCAACAACAGTTTCAGGGTTCCTGCTTGTTTGGCAGTTCTTTTCTTCCATCTCCCCTTGGTTGTACAAATTATGTTTTATAGTTACTTAAAATAGTTTACTCTTGGATAACTAAACCATTAACTAAACTGGGGTATCAACTTATGTTAACTGTGTCATATAAATATTGTTATTCAGAATTTTATTTTTAAAATTAAAATGTAATGGTCTTATAATTATGAAAAATATGATATAGTTCCAATACCAAATATTTAAAAGGCAGAATTACAAGTCTACCTTCTATCCCATTTCCTCCATCCTATTCCCTCCCTTCCCCATACGTACCTATATTTTAGATAAAATAGGTATCCTATTTTATTTTATTTTATTTCTTCAACATAAGAAGCTTTTATATAAGTAGTCCTACATTATGTGGTCTCTTTCATTTACTTTCTCAATTTTTAAAGCACTTTTTTATACTTAGGAAAATTTATATTTTTGTTCTATTAATTATATTTATACTATTATTTTTGTGTAATATTGCCCATAATTCCCTGTTATCTGTTGTTGTAGTCTGTTGGCTATGTACTATGACCAATATTGTTATTAGCTAGTCATTATTTCCTTACCCTTAAGTTTAGGGGTATTAATCAGGATACTGACTGGGCTGAAAAAAACTTTTCTCAAATTTGAACTTCTCTTAGGAAATAGCTAATTTGACCTTAAGGACAATGACTCATTAATTCAGCGTTTTCCCACCCTCCAGCCCTATTGACACTTTGAACTAGATAGTTAGTTGTTTGATGTGGGGGACCATGTGTCTTACAGAATGTTTAGCAATATCCTTGGTCTCAATCAGCTGCTAATACCATCCCCCCACCTTCACTAGGTGGGACAACCAAAAATACTTGCAGACATTGTCAAATGTCCCTGGGGGAAAATATCACTCCCAGTTGACAGCTGCTGATTTAACTAACTTTGTATCTACTATAAGAAAGCTCAAAGGAAAATTAGTGACAAGATCCTGGTTTTATCTTAATATTCACTCTTTACTAGAAAATAATTGTATACTTTTCTCAGTTTCCATCAATTCTTTAGGGAACAAAGGAAATGAGTGAATTCATTCATAGAAAATTTGGGTAAGTTATCACTTTCTTTCTTCAAGACAAAAATTAGAAGTTTATTTATCTAAAATCCTTTATTAACCATGCCCCTAACTAGAGGTGATTATTCCTCAACTGAGCACAGCTCTACATATTGTTGGCTTCTTCATTTTAATATCTGTAAATTAGGAAGACCACTAAACACAAACTCCTGGATGGCATGGTCTATGTCTTTATTTTGGGTCAACTCTAGACTCTTATCACCCAGCACAAAGCCTGGCCAGTATAGATCAACCCTTTTTTTTTATTTTTTGAATAAATAATAATACAGTATGAAAAATCATCTTACTAGATGACTCCTATGAAATAAGTAACTTTTACATAGTCAACAAACCTTGTATTTAGAAAATGCTTAACATGCACTTACCCAATGCCTGCCAAGACCATGAAATCTAAATAACTTGAGCATATGAAAGTCAGAGCAAGTAAGTAAGACTTGTATATTCTCTCACTAGTGGCTGCAAGACAGCACATGTGCCTCAAATTAAACTTCTTTTCCTCAATAAAACCAAAGTAAAAGAAATATTTGGGGTTGAAAATAGCATTTAAATTTTAACACAACAGGCCAGTCAAAGGTGAAGTGTTTTAGATTTTTGTTGAGTCCAAAGAACTCAAAAAATTACAACTGATGGGAAGCGCGCCATTCAAATTCTTGACATAAAAGAAAAATTTACCTTTTCTATAACACTTAAAAGTAAAGCTAAATTTAAGGTGCATCTTGCTTTATAAAACACATGAGTAAAAACTACAACAGTAACAACAAAAAGCTCTGTATTAAATGATATACATTAGGATCTAATTACTCACATAAAACGACAATATTCTAAACATCAGGCACCTAAATATATATAATTAAATTTTTATTTAATTCAAATGCAATCCACTTTTTACACACATGCATATTCCAAAGCAGATAAGCATTAAAACATAGACTTAATGGACTAGTATATAATAAAAGAAAATAAAGTAACCTCCATACCACTTATATATTATCTTGTATACCATACATAGTACACACCTCATCTTTTAAAACATTTTGCCCCAAGTAAAGCCAACATAAAACTTTTAAATAGCATATCCATGTAGTAACTAAATACTATTTCCACATAATTACTTTAAATATATGTATTTGTACATGTGCACAAACAGATGTAAATCTCCTAGATATAAGGAAATGTTCAACTAAATACCTATTGTGTCTGTTCCTACTCCAAGCTTCCTTGGAAGCCTTTTTCCATTGGACCTAGCTCTCACTTATAATTGTTTCTTATTCAGATGACTGAAAGCAAATTTAGGAAGTAGGTAACATTGGCTTGCATCCATATATGATTCTCTAGGTAGAACATCACGTACATATCCCATCATGCCTTCTCAATTCTCTACATCTCTGTACAGCACACTTTTCCTGTGGTTTCTGATGCATCATCAGATTTGTTAACTGCTAAACTGATGGTCTTTTCTTGTTCTACGCACATACACCTTCAAGAAACAGTGGAAGGAGAAGCAGTTTATGAACATCTAAAAATAAATTGGCAAAATACTATAGATTGCCACCAACACAAAAACTAGAAATAAGAATACATTTTATTTATTTTTTATTGATTTTTAGAGAAAGAGAGATGAAGGCAGAGGGGGGAGATAAAGAAACAGACAGACAGACATCAATTTGTTGTTCTACTTATTTATGCATTCAATGTTTGACTCTTGTATGTGTCCACCTGAAATGGAACCTGAAACCTTGGCATATCGAGATGATGCTCTAACCAACTGAGCCACATGGCCAGGTCCAAGGATGCAATTTAGAAGAAGAAACTATATATTCTAAACATTATCTACCTTATTCTATATATTATTTTTATATATTATAGAGATATATCATTATATTATTACCTATCCATGAATGAAGGTCTACTTAAGACTATCAGTAAATAGCACAAGACTAAATTTTCCACTGTAAAATTTAAAAGATAAATGATTTTTAACTTATAAATCTCCTGAAATGAACCTTCTTACTTGTAACAACTGCTCGACTATAAGATTACAAAAACTAAACATGATTTCTAGCAAAGTTCCTTACCTTTCTGAGTAACCTTCTAGGAATGGCTGACAGAATTCTTCAAACAAACATACTGAAACTAGAGTACTCTGGGTCCTAGGATTCCTAATTTAAACTCACTATGTCCTATATTTTCTTCCCTTAAGATGGCATCCTAATAGCATCTCTTCCAGATCCCTGAAGATAACGATGGCACTGAGATCTCTTCTCCTGCTCTTCAGATAAAGTTCAAGTAATGGGTGCAATCAAACTGATTGGCAATCAATGATGCTATGTTTTGTTTCAATGTAAAGCCCTTTGATTATTTCTATTTGTTCTACCATTCAGAAGGATTAAGAAAAGAAAGAAAGAAAAGGCAAGCCCAAGTTATTAAAATGTAAAGAATCTTGCCTGTGTTTTTTGCAAAACACATCTGCCCAGGTTCTAAATTTAATCAGTTTTTTTATAAAAACAGATAATGACTCCCATTCATAGGAGCATGGCTGGATAATAAAAGTTGGCATTCCTATAAATTAAGATAAAAATGTGCATTAAAAAAAGAACTTTACTTACTTGCACGAAGAACTGAAGGTGTGACCTCAATTTCACTTGTTGCTTGATAAGGTTGAAAGGCTGAAACAGTGTTGGTGCCAAGCTCACTGCCAAATATCTCTGGACTCTGGGTGCCTGTGGAGCTGGCACTGGTGCCATCACCTCCATGATGTGGATCTTGCTCATCAAATACTGCTACCAGCTAGAAACAAAAGGTAAAGGGGGTATTATAAACAAAGGCATTTACATTTTTACCATAAACGCCACACCACATTTGACTTATATCTACAGAGGCAACAGCATAGATATTTATATACCAGCAATGTTGTTTTAGGAAGCAAAACTTCAAGAAACTGTCTTTCCCTGAATTTTGATGCTTTACTTTTTCTAAGTTTGCATTTCATATCCAAAAGTCTATGGGTAAAAAATATAAATATGTTTTTATATCACAGAATGCTAAAGGGAGATATATATATGATGGCTTTAAATCTTTTGGTAAGCCCGGTTGGTGTGGCTCAGTGGCTCAACATCAACCCACACACCAAGAGGTCACAGGTTCAATTATCGGTCAGGGCTCATGCCCAGATTGTGGACCAAATCCCCCCCCCCGGGGGGTGGGGGTGGGTACAGTGGCGGCCAATCAATGTTCTCTCTCATAGATGGTTCTAGCTCTCTTTCACTCTCCCTTCCTTTCTCTCTAAAATCAATAAAGGAAGAATAAATAAATGAATAATTCTTTTGGTACATAATATATTAAATGGAAAATAAAACTGTATTTGTATAAATATATAATGCATATTTATATATGATATACAGTATATATAGCAAAAGGTGTAAGATACCCTTCATATAAAAAGAAGGGAATATTAAAAACAACACATATGTCTGCTTATATGTGCAAAAGAAATATAGGAAAGATATAAAAGAAACTAATGAAACTTTTTACCTACAGGGAATTAGTAGAAATAGGGTTGAAAGAGAATGAGAACAGATTATGAAGATAATGGTGCAGTGATACTTTTCTGAATATTTTTCTGTAACTGACTCTTAAAACTATAATAATAATCCAAATACCTAAAACATATATAAGTAAGTAAAACTAACCAGAGGACAGTAAAAGCTAAAATAGAACACAAATAAACCTAACAATGTTACCAATGAAAAATACAACCAACTGACGGTGGCAGAGAAGATAAAAATTAAGTGACTTCAGAAAACATTTTTAACTGTTCAGTCAGTGTAAGGCTAAAGACAAAACGAACTGTAACAGAAATATTGTATTCCAGTTAGTAAATTTGGTTCTCACAACTGTACAGTTTAGAAATTCTCACACAACAGAAAGTATGAATGAATGTGAATGCATGTGTGGTATACAAACATATATTTCTTAGTTCTATCCACTGAGAGGTCTCAGATGTAATGATACCCAGTACCAATGAATACAAGTACCCAGATCTTGGTTTCTAATACCAGTCTCCAATAAATGAACTAGGGCTTCTTAGAAAAATAATTGCAGGGTTGGGGGCAGACATAATACATGAGGAGCTTGGAACATCTTGTGATGCATTCAAAAATGATGGAGGCATATCAAAAAGATAGGGTGCCAATGAGAAGAAGCTCCCAATGGCCAAAGCTGGGACAACTTGTAAACGAGGAAACAGATTATAACCAAGAAAAAAGTAAATATCTTTAAGTCCATAATGATATAAATAAGTAATTGAAGAAATAATTAAATGGTGGAGAATGGATAGCTCTTCCTAATTGCTGTATTCCAATTAATATAGAATGATAGAAATAGAAAGCATCACTAGACAACCTCCATAATAATACCTGTTGCAGATCAATCTACTAATGGATGCCAAAATTAATGGGTGGGAATATAATGAGAAACAGAATATTTGCATATCTCAAAATATCTTCATATAAAAAGTTTTTAATAAAAAATAATATCTTTGCAGTGGAGGAATATGTCAGATACCACTTCACAAAAGTTAGCATCAGTGATAAGACATATTGTCATCATATACCCTCTGATAAAATGCACTGAGAAATACATAACCTTACTTCTGTGGTATGCCTGCCAAAAATAAATAACATTGATCTAATTATGAGGAAGCCTGAGAACAATCCAAATTGAGAGACATTCTATGAAATAACTCTTATTCTTTACTACTATCAAGGTTATAAAAGTAAAAACAAATAAAAACATGAAATCATATAAACTGGAGGAGACTGAGGAGAAATAAGAATTCATGCAATGTGAGGCCCTGACTGGATCCTGGGCTAAAACAAAAAACAAGACATGGTGTGAAGGTATAGATGAAAAATATATGTAAACACTATTATTTTTGCAGCTTTTCTTAAGTATAAAATAATTTTAAAATTAAAAATTTTTACATTTCATAATATAGCATTACAAAGTACCATAAAAATTAAATTTCAATCATTTCTTTTTAAAAAAATATTTTTTTCTTTATTGATTTAGAGAGAATGAAAGTGAGAGGGAGAGAGAGATAGAAACATGAATAAGAGAAAACATTGACTGGCCGCCTCCTGCATGTCCCTTACTGGGGATTTGGCCCACAACCTGGGCATGTGCCCTGACCAGGAATCAAACCAGCGACCTCTTGGTTCATAGGTCGACACTCAACCACTGAGCCACACTGGCCGGGCAAATCATTTCTTCTTATAACTGAACAGTGGTCACGCTTCTTAAAATCTCCTAGAGTAATAAAAAGTAATAAAGTTTGAAGGAACACTACACTTTGGTCATTCGCCCTACAATCCTATGCCTAGCAAACTATGCTTAGTATTCCAAAAAAATAAGAACCAAGACTGTACCCCCAAAAAGCCATGCTTTCTGCCTCCAATTCAAGCTTTTTTTAATGCTAATATTTCTATCAGTTATAAACAACAGTAAGATAAACTTAAAGAATGTGAGAAGTATTTATAATTATAATCCTCATTTCATAGACAGTTGTGCCATTTTGAACAAATACAATTTACATTAACATATTATCAATCAATTTATAAAAAAAAAAAAAAATCCTAAGGTTATAAAGACCAGTAGACAAACAAGAAGCTCAGAACTCTATTGTGATATCATATATAATGAGCTGATTAAACAATCTGTAAGGAAGCTAAGTGGTAGGATGAAATCAAAATAGAATGAATAGTTGAGCAATTCACCTTGTAATAAGCAACATACGTAGGAAAAGAACTCCTGAGCAGTTATAAAAAATGAAAAGACGTTTATTTGTGTGTATACACAGAAGTTTCCATATACAGTAATAAAATCAGCCTGGGTATTTAACTGACTGGCAAGTGTCTCCCTACATTAGTCATACATACATTCTACCACATCAGGGGTCAGTGAACTTTTTCTGAAAAGAGCCAAATAGTAAGTATTTTTGGAGCTGTGCAAGCTATACAGTCTGTCATAACAAACCTACTCTGCCATTGTAGTATGAAAACAGGCACAAATAATACATAAATAAATTATCATAACTATGTTTGACAACCCTGCCTGCACTGGACTACTCATTTTTTTAGTCAATTTAAATTTGGAATATAAAACTAAAAGTCAGTGAGACCTTCAAGGAACTTAAGGAGACTTCCAAGGAACTTAGAACATTAACAATATAAAAAAGGACCAGTCAGAAATGAAGGATGCACTAACTGAAATGAAGAATAATTTACAGGGAATCAATAGTAGAGTAAGTGAAGCCAAGAAGCAAACCACTGAATTAGAATATAAGAAAGCAAAAAATACCCAATCTGAACAGCAAAAAGAAAAATGCATGTAAAAAAAAATGAGAACAGTGTTAAGGAGCCTCTGGGACAACTTCAAGTGTACCAAAATTCTCATCATTGGGGTGCCAGAAGGAGAAGAGAGAAAGCAAGAAATTGAAAACCTATTTGAAAAAAATGGCAGAAAACTTCCCTGCTTGGTGAAGGAAACAGACATACACGTCCAGGAAGCACAGAGAGCCCCAAAAAAGAGGAACTCGAAGTCCACACCAAGACACATCATCATCAAAATGCCAAAGGTTAACCACAAAGATAGAATCTTAAAAGCAGCAAGAGAATAGCAGTTACTTACTACAAAGGAGCTCCTTTAAGACTGTTAGCCAATTTCTCAAAAGAAACATTGCAGTCCAGAAAGGAGTGGCAAGAGATATTCAAGGTGATGAAAAGCAACAACCTACAACCAAGACTACTCTATCCTGCAAAGCTATCATTCAAAATTGATGGACATATCAAGATTATCCTAGACAAGAAAAGGCTAAAGGAGTTCATCACCACCAAACCAATGTTATATGAAATGTTGAAGGGTCTTCTTGAAGGACAAGAAGAACAAAAATATGAACAATAAAACGGCAATAAATACATATCTATCAACAATTGAATCTACAAACAAAATGGGCAAGCAGAACAGAAACAGACTCATAGATACAGAGAACAAATTGGTTGGTTGTTAGACTGATGAACCTCAAAGGGAAGGGGGACACAAATGATAGTGTGGGGAAGGCAGGAGGGGGCGTGATTGGGGAGGAGGCGGTCAATGGGGAAAAAAGAGGGGGAACATCTCTAATACAGTCAACAATAAAGATAAGTATAAAAAGAAATTAAGAGTTGAGGTACCTTGGTAACCCTGATAAGCATAACAATATCCACTGTAAGTTTTTTATAGGGATTTAGAATTTCTATACTTTTAATTTTAATGTCATCAGACTTCTCACAAGGTTATGTGGCTTAAAGCACATTTTGAGCCATGGTCAGGTGACTCTATTGGTTGGAGCATTATCTCAAATACCAAGAGGTTGTGGGTTTGATTCCCAGTCGAGGTGCTTTTGGGAGGCAACCAATCAATGTTTCTCCACCTCACCCCCACCCCAGCCCACCCCACCCTTCCTCCCACTCTAAATCAATAAACATATCCTCAGGTGAGGTTAAAAAATTTTAAGTGCATTTTGAAGATACTAAGTTTCGATATATTGGTGCTTAAATGAAAGCAAATGAAATTAGGGTTTGTAATTAACTTTTCAGTAATGTGTTCTCTCAAGAATAAACTGAAAATAAAGATTGCAAATTACAAAGAACAAGTCTTTAAATGCCACACATGATGAAAGAACTTCAACATATATATTAGTTTCAATAGTTAACTTCAGCATTTTTAGAAAACACCAGTATTATGAAATC